ATAATTTTCAATTTTGCAATTTCTCGCCCAGGCACCAATCGCATTTAGTATTGGCACAGGGCGAGCACCTGCAGCAGCCGGTGCAGCTCCCACGCCCACATGCCTTTGTCTTTATCGAACATGGCAAAAAAAAATGCTGGCACGTGTTGAACAGACAGCGGAGAGGTGCGTGAAGGCAATGACGAAACATGGCACCCATTTGGATGCCATTAGTGCCAGCCAGGCTAGCTGGCCATGATGGCCAGACTGCCTGCCTGCTGAACCAAGAAAAACAATGGCAGCAGCAGCAAAGGCAACAACAACAACAGCAGCAGCAATTCAACCAACGCAGAGCCCGAGAACATAACAAAATTTGTTTTTTTCTTGCTGAAAAAGTAATAGAAGCCGCTGCAAACGCATATTGGTAACAATTTTTTCCTGTCTCTGTCTAAATTTTTAGTTCCCTTGTTGCAGTCAGCAAAGCGCTTTAAAAGGCGTGGCTGGAGGGACTTAGCGTTTGTGGTGCAAACAGCTTTGAAACTCTGTGAAATTTGTGTCTCTGTTGACGTGGTACCGCTGAATGTTGTTGTTGTTGTGAAACTTTCAATAAGCGTTAAGATAGACGTGGACATGAACATGCAGCAGTCACTGTTCACAGTAAATGTTTACAGCAGTCACTGTTTCGAGATACGAACTACAATTTGATTGGTAGCAGCAAATGCTCAAAGCTCTCTGTTGATTCCCTTTGCATATGCAAGAACTTTCCCTCATCTCTGGCTTTGTTATTAGATTTGCAGTTCACGACTTACGGACGCCCTGCACCACCCAGAAGTTGCATCCTTAAGCCTTTACTATTCACTATGTGTAGCTGCCCCCACGATACGCTTGCAACAAACGTAATTGCATTTAGTTGAGAATTTATGCTTGTATTAAATTTATACATTTCTCATACCCTTACACAGGTACAGTAAAACGGCAAAGAAATATGAAATCATTTTAAAGAACTTTTTTTTATTTTATTTATCTCCACTTTATTAAGAAATTTTCCACTTAGTTTGAGTCTGCTTTAAATAATTCGAATTCTATATTTGTTAAGCTTTTTCCGTTTCAGCTTTTTTTAGTGTATTATTCATTCAGAAACGTAAATCTGAGAAATCATCTCATAAAATAGTTTGACGAATGGGATTTTAATTCGTACTATATAGAAAATTGATGAGATAATTATTTATAATTATTAATATTTATAATTAGTTCATTGATTGCTGAACAGAATATTGAGCGCTAATTTTATATTTCTTTAAAAATTTGCATATTAATGAATCAATAATTGTTTATATTTTGCAAATTCATTTATAGAATTGAATTGAATATGACTAGGATTATTTTGAAAAATTCGCTGCCATTTCAAAAATATTAATGCTATACATGTATATATATATGTATTTTTTGTTTTCGTTTTTTAAGAGATTCAATTATATATTATTATATTATAATATCTAATTATATATCCATAATTGCAAATTACTTCAATCCTCCATTACATATATTTAAAAAAATAAAGAATTTCAGCTAACTCTCATTGTTGTAATTATACATACATATATAACGAAAACACTTTATAATCGTCTTTACAAAGCGTATTATTAAATTCGTTGCAAAATCAACTCTTATAACTTTTTCTTGTTTTTCTACTCGGTAACAATCTGCTTAAGTTTCTACCTACGTGAACTTGGTTGCAGCATCCTTCCCCCCTCTAAAGCATCCAAACAGCTCTTAACTCAACTTCACCTTCACTTGAAAATTGCATTTTGTACAAAAATGTTTGCCATGCTCGGAAAATACTTCGCTGCAAGTGTATATACATATCTATATATATATATATATATATGTATATATATATTTATGTGTGCATGTGTGAGTATTCCCAATATTGCATTGGGTACGGCAAAATATGAAAACAAATGGCGTTGGGCTTTGGCTTTTGGTTTTTGGCCAAGTAAAAGAAATTTTGTTAGTCCAAGTTGCATTAAGACGGTCAAAGTTCGTTCGGCATTGGATGACAAGCGATTTATGTACACACTCGCTTTTAATGTTTTTTTCTACTATTCTTCGTCTTTTTGGTTTCGAAACTTTCATTTGGAATTTTATGGGGAACATAGCTACTTGTTACTTAAGCTCTTGTCAACTTTTTAAACATAAAGGCGACAACGTTTTGTCTGCCACGCACAAAAAATAAATTTATTTGGATAGATAATTACTACAGCTTATTTCTTAAACTTTTGATATATAATATGAAAGGGTTCAAATTATTTTTCACATAAAGTCCAAAAACTTAGATCTTGATAGTAGTTACAAAGTTAAATCGAATTTAATTTAACTAACCATATGAATGACGATGATCTCTTTTAATAATTATAATTTAAAGATATGTTTATACATACATATTATATAAAGTCGAAAGATTATTGCAAATTCTAATTAACAAATTGGAGTTTTGATTTATATTGAGCACAAATATACGCCTTAAAATATATTTAAAAATTTAATATAATAAGGATTTTTAAAATACACAAATATCAATGAAAACTTGAAAGTAAAACTTATATTTATGTATGTAAATTAAAATTCAAAGCAGAAAACAAAGAACTATTTTTAGTACATGCCAAGATAATTAATATTAGTTTATGATTGTCAACAATTGCAATAAGAAAATACAAATATATAAAATAAATAAGTTAGAAAACACGATGACTTATCTGTAGTATTTTGCTTGTGAAGTCAGCATGCTGCATACTAATCCTAAGTGAATCGCAATTCTTCTTCTTATGGTTTAGCAAGGAGCACGTTTTCACTTTTCATGATTATTGTATGACAAGGCAGCACCGGAACCCTAGGCAAATTAGATTTATACGCCTGAGCATTTCCATATCACAAACTCCACATTTTATACATGAGATATGAATTTTGCAATAGCTGTGCAGAAAAGCCGCTTATGAGCTTTGCGAAGAGCAGCGTACAGGATAACCTCTGCGGAGCTCGCTAACGGCCGCGCAGATATTGAAATAGATATCGACAATACAATAATGCGATTTATAGTGGACTCACTCACCCAAATACACACATTTATTCATATAGCTGTATAGCGGGTATTTAACTATATTTATTAATTGCGCACAAGCCGCGAGCACTTTTTGTGATAAATTTGCTCATAAATAAATTTTATTTTTGTATTAATGTATTGACTCGATCTTCAAATACGTGTGGAGTTTTCATCGACAATTACGATATTTACGAATACCACTTATTTTCATAAAATTTCACAACAGGAAAACCACGAATCTCACTTTTTGACATCTTATAATTAAATGCCGTCATGCTAAGTGTTGCCCAATGACCAAACGATTTGCACCAATTAGCGATATTTCCAACACTGGTGTACAGCTAGTGCTGATTGGCAAAATAGCACAGTAAATAATGAAATTTATAGCTATCTAATAAATTAAATATGCATAATATACATGAAAGATTCGTGGATCTGATTATAATAACCGTAATATATGTTAATTAATAATTTCCCAGCAGTGCTTTGTATAATACTAAATAACCGTTATTAAGCCAGTATGCCATTGGCTTTGCGTAATTGAAGCCATCTGGCAACCCTTTTATTGCAATAAGTCCCGCTTTTTGCTCCGTTTCGTGTTTGTAAATCTGAAGTTGAGACATGCTAACGCAATTAAGCGACAAATCCGTCAACGGCACGATTTATAATCATTATTTACCCTTCAAGTAAGCACTAGACCATTGCAATTCAATCTTTGGCAGCCACACACTAACATTTTGACGGGCTAGCTAAAACCCTTCAAGCCATGAAGAATTGATATGCACACTCACACATGCATATGCACACAGATCTCAATACATGTACATTGTATGTATGCGTATGTGAATGTGTGTATATATGTGGGTGTGTTTGTCTAAGTGTGCGTGCATATGCAGGTCACATGCACCCGATGTTCGCGCGCAAAAAATAGTGTTAAGTGCTTTTGCTGTTTCTTGCAGTCGAGCAATCATTGTCAGCAAATACCCAACAGCAGCCAGTAAAATAGGAACGGGTCCAGAAAGACCCACCACGCAAAGAGGAAACCACAAATGTAGCTGCGATTTATATGCTTTGCAAAGTGCAAAGAGAAGAACAAAATAAGCAGAGGGTGAGAGTGAGTGAGCAAGAGAGCAGGCAATGTAAAAAAATAACCGTTAACAATTCTTTTTCATGCTCTAAAATCAAATGCAAATGCAAATGCAAACCAACAGTTGGCGTCAATCGCAATGTCGTAAGCTCCCCCTTCTCTTAGCTATGCTCCGATTTGTGCCCACTTTATTGCTGGAATTAATGATGGAAGGGCTGCAGCTGTGTTTGCAGTGAGAGGATTTTGCTTGTTTTTATTTTTTGCTGAGCTTTCTTTTTATTTATTTTTTTATTTCGTGTGTTTTATGTTGAATCAAGTAGAAATTCAATTGATTTGCTTTGGCTTCAGCTTTGACTATGGCAAAGGCGAAATACGCAAAGGGTGTTTTAATAGTGGGCGTCTCTTTCTGCTACGCCCACATGCATATGTTGAGCTTCAAAGGAAACGAACTGCTTAACCAACAAGTGTGAAAGCGCATAAATAATTTTGCAAAATTATTTGAAATAAAATAACCGCTTTTCCAATTATGAATGCGTTGCACAAGACATGCTTCCAGCAATGTTGATTGCCCCTTCCAGTTGAACAATCTAAATAATTAAATGAAGTCAAAATCTTCATTTTACCTAATGAACTTTACAATGAGAAATTCGATTTGTTCGTGTGAAGGGGTCAATCAGTTGTAAAAGCCAAAGAACAAACCGCAAATTTTATTATGCACAAATGCAATTTGCATTGTAAATCAAATTTTAATTGAAATAATCACATACATAGCCAAAGTCTGTCAATATTTCAATATTTTAATATTTATGTTAATAAAATTTGTTTGCCTTGCAGATTACAATTTTACTGCAGCTGTCCCATGTGCGTGCTAAGCATTTCGCCAATATATAGAGCTTAAGGCAACGTTGGTACACAACCAGGCCACGCCCATAATGGGCGCAACCAATTACATGACGGCTATATGGCTGCTGTTGCTGATCATAGCAGAAAGTCAAGCAGCAAGAGAAAGTAAGTATGAATTTATTAATATAAAAAGGCAATAGCTTAAAAAATTAATAAAATGTAGCTAATTACATTTTGTTAATTAAAATAATTGAGAAAATAAAATTATATTTACAATTAAAATTAAAATGAAGTTAATTAAAATTACATGAAATATCACTCAAAATAAATAACGATTAATTCAAATATCTAATTTTTATACATTTAATTATTTCAAGTAACAAATTTAATAAATAACGATCCGAATTATCAAAATAAATGTTAAATAGTTTGAATTACTCTAACTCTCAATCAAAATATATATGCATAAATATCTAGTAATCACATTTAAGTAAGCTATTCGTAATTACTGCAAATTAAAATTAAACTAATTATAAAAAATATTTTTTTTTAAGTACATAAATTTATTTGTACAAGTCAATTTATTTAATAAATGACTCGTCAAAAAATTTAAATTTTTATTATTTTGTATAACTTATTACATTTAAGTAATGTTATATTATTTGATAACAGTTTTCAAATAATATGAGGTATTTTAATATATCGATTAAAGATATTTACAATTTATTATTTATTTACAGTAATAAATGTAAGTAATTAAATTAAATCAAATAAATAACTATTAAACATTAATATCATAACTATTTTATATTAACATTACAAAATTTGCAAATATTTCAAAAATATATTTGATCTGTCACTCATAGATCCCCTTAAGGATCCGCGAATCTGTGGTCGCCCCCAATGTGAGACGATAAATCCGAAATTTGGCTATGGAGAAAAGCTCTATAAATATGACTATACGGTTTCCGTGCGCACGGAATTTGCCGGATCCGGCGACAACAGCTCCGATCTATATTTGAAAGCGAATCTGGAGATATTCTTCCCTAAGGACTGCGAAGGCTACCTACGTATCAATACAGTTAATCTGTATGATTCGCTGCAGGAGGCGAGCAATGAGAGTGGCGCCACGGAGGAGAAACCTGCCAAAGATGTTTACGACTACTATGACAACTTGAGCGCCGAGTCCTCGTCCGATGAACATGCGTCAAACGAGTTTGAACATCTACATCCCAAGAGCAGTGAATTGTCTGTTGATCTAAGCAGGAATCTGTTGCGCTTCGCCTTCCACGATGGTCTCATAAGCGAAGTGTGTCCCACCGATGATGAATCGCCTTGGGTGCTCAACTTTAAGAAGGGCATCCTGTCAAGCTTTCAAAATACCATGTTACGTTTCGATGTGGACTTCAATACCACCGAAACGGATATATCGGGCGAATGTCAGGTACAATATTCATTGGAGTCCACCGACGACGTCTATGTAACCATACGTAAGACAAAGGATATATCCACATGTCGGCGACGCTATGCTACCCACTCGGTGCTGCAAACTACGCCGTACACATTCCGAGACGATAAAACCATATGGCCCATACTGAATTCACAGAGCTATTGTAATGTAAGTATATAAAAATATTCAAATGTAGAAAAACAAATTTGTTAATAACACTATAAGCTAAATGAATCATGAGAATCGCAAAGAAAGGTCTTATTTAATCATGTTTTTATCTATTAATTTCAGTTGACCATTGATAACAGCGTTTACCGCGATATCAACTGCTTGGAGAGCCATTTGTTGGTGCCCTTTTCGAATGGCAGCTCTGGCGCATTGACCACGACACGAAGCTCACTGCGGCTGAGTAGTGAAGACTCTTACGGCTTAAGCGAATTTCTGGATAAGAGTAAGTTGTGTGTTGTATACAAATTTTTAAATGTAATCTCAACTATTTTCTTCAATTCATAGATGTCGAGTTTGTTGAGCGGCGTTCTGCGTTGATCTTCGATCACACACCACCTGTGAAGCCCAGCCATGATGAGATCAAAGCGGCACGCGACCATCTAATGCAAATGTGCGTTGTGGGCTTTCCTAACATTCAACGCGAGTTTATAGATGTTTTCACAAACTTTCTGCAAACGTCGAAGAGTCTGGACTATAAAACGTTGACTGTGCTGCTGGAGCGTTCAGCGAGCATTTGCGATCAGGGCAAGTAAGTAGCACCCAAAAACACAGTAAGATCAGACTCTAATTGATTTATTGATTACAGAAAACACGTACTGGAGTCTCTGCCCTATATTGGAAGTACTGCATCGTATCAAGTAATGCGCGATCAAATAGTAAATGAGAAATTAACTAAGGAGATGGCGCACAGCTGGATGAGCTCGCTATCATTTATCACGCGACCGGACGAAGAGACATTGGAAACCTTTTATACCATACTCGACTATGCTAGAAACAAACTGGATCCGGAGTATACACTGGGTGCAACAGCTGTGGTGCACAGCTATTGCAAACATCACGATAATTGCGACGAGGATCTCAAGGTGGCACAAATTATCAATCTGCTGGAAACCGAGTTCCTTAGCCAATTCAAGAGATATCGCGGTGATCGCAAGCAACGCGAACGTTTAATTATACTGTTGAAGGGTCTCGGAAATATTGGAGTTATATCCCCTGGATTTGCAGAGCAATTGCAGTTGATCATTGACAATAATGGGGTACCAGTAGACATACGCTTGCAGAGCATACTTGCCTTCAGGCGCGTCGACTGCTTCAAGTATCGCAGCTATTTCATGGATAAGTATGCCGACTACATGTTCAATTCAGAGCTGCGTATCTACAGCTATCTGCAGACGATGCGTTGTCCGGATTATATATCTATTGGCTCCATCAAATCCATACTGGATAATGAGCAAATTAATCAAGTTGGCTCATTCGTTTGGTCACATCTCACCAATTTGGCCAAATCCAATTCACCGGTGCGTATTGAAGCGCAGGGCTTGCTCCTAAACGATGAGCTTGCTGACAAGTTTAAGATGGATATACGCAAGTTCTCCCGAAACTATGAGCACAGCCTGTTCTTTGATGAGTACAATTTTGGTAAGCGAATGTGCTCTAATCGTATTCAATCAATATTTAATTTATCCATATTTTTAGGCACCACAACCGATGCAAATCTCATATTCGGCATCGATTCCTATCTACCTCGAATGGCCAGTGTCAATTTTACCGCCGATCTGTTTGGCCAATCTGTTAACTTCTTTGAGTTTAGCGCACGTGCCGAAGGCTTCGAGGAGTTAGTTGCAAATGCCTTTGGCCCGCAAGGCCCGTTGAATGGTAAACTGCTGCGCAAGAAGCTCGCCTTTCTAAATCGCTGGCTGGGCAATGAGAGCGCCGAGGATGATGATACTTTAGATAATCTGCTCAATTTGGATAGTTTGCGGCTTAAGCGTAAGGCAGCACAAAGCTCAGAGTCCGTAGAAGATGTTGACTACAATTTCGAAGATGAAATTGCTGATGCTCCTCGATCAAAACGCGATGCAGATGCTACTGCAACGGCACGAAAACAGGGCATTGTGCGCAATGTTGACCAATTGGGCTATAAGCTGAAGTACGACTACAACAATCCGCGAGCACAATTTGGGCTGCGCGTTTTCGGCAACGATCTGCGCTACTATAACATCGAGTCCATGTCGGAAGTGGCGAAGCTAATTACGGAGTTCAATCCGTTCTATCAGGCGCAAAAAGTACTCTCCGGCAAGACCCTCAATTACAGAAAATCGCGCGTATTTCTCGATGCCTCATATACCGTTCCGTTAGCGGTGGGCATGCCTCTGGCTATACATGCATTTGGTGCCTCTTCTATTGATTTGAGCATATCGGGTAATTTGGATAAATTGGACGTTGATTGGCATTTCGATGTCCAGGGTCACTTCAAGCCCTCTGTCTCTGTGGATGTGATAACCACAATGCAAACGGACATGTTCTGGGGCCAGTCAGGCATCAAGGTCAAGAGCAATTTGTACTCCAACTCGGAGGTGGAGGCCAATCTGAAGATGCGCGGCCGAAATCTTGTTTCCTTTTCTTTCAACCTGCCGCAGGATAAGAATGAAATCTTCAGTGCACGCTCTGAGCTGCTGGTGGTTAAGCGTGATCAAGAGATGCCACAGGCGGGCATCGCGAAACGCAGCTCCAATACCACATGCACCTGGCCCGTGCTGGACAAAGCAATTGGACTGCAAATGTGCTCTCACTACAGTGTACCAGATCTGAGCAATACAACAGAAGCTTTGCCCAGTTTATTGTTGGCGGGACCGCTCAACTTTAGTGTTATACTCAAAAAGTCCGATTTGACGGCCAAAAAATATGTATTTGAATACAACTGGGATCAGCAGGACGACGACAATAACATTACGTTGGTATTCAGCACGCCTGGCTCCCAAATTCCTCGCATTCTAGTGGCTAATTTAACAAGTGTACCACATGCCCTAAATGCATCTGTTGCCTTTGTCAATGGCAAAAACCACGCATCTGCTGGATGCAGATATAATAGCAATCCAGATTACAGACGTCTCGATGTCTATCTGGACACTAATGGCAATCGCTCACTGGATCTTGGCATGGAGCTGCGACGCTATCAAGACTTTACTGCCTGGATCTATAAGCCACGCATGCTTTTGACCATCAATGGTGTGAACATAACGGGCCTGGTCGGCTCCATCAAGATCAATGAGAAGAATGGCATCAAGCAGCACGACATTGATCTCTCCTTTGAGACAAAGAAGCTGCAAGCTCTGGTCAGCGGTAACATTGTGCAAAGCGAGGTGACGACCTCAACGAATATGACTGTGAACTATAGGGTAAGTGCGTCTGAAGGAACCCGCAACAGGAAGAGCTTAATTACCTTTTAGGAACTGCCTTCGTAATACTAACCACCAATTCCTTTTGTAGTTCCAAGCCTCCAAGATCGAAACCATCAACTTTGCTGGACGTCTAGTCAACAACGGCGATAAGTCGAAGACAGAGTATCGTGGAAATGTGAAGCTACGCACCACAGCATATCCAAAGCTTAACTTTGCCTCAAATGCTACCTGGCTGAGCCTGCAAGGACATACCGAAGGCTTCTTAACTTACAACAATGCGCCCGACTATGTCAATCCTAACTACACCAGCATGATTAGAGTTATTTTTGCACGCTCCAGCTCAGAGAATATTACAATTGAAGGCTCACGAACGCGTGCCAGCTTGGAGTTGAAGCTGCCCAAAACAAACATCGACTATCGCATATTGGTTAAGTGCGTACATTTTTTTGGCTATACGCTGCGAACTTTTCATATATCTTCTGTATTTCGTAGGCATGAGGAACGCAGTAAAAATGGCACCGAGCACAATGTCATTGTGGGCCTGAAGTATGCGCCCGAAAAGGAAGTAACTGGCCTCTTCTCCGTACATCTGCCACGTCGCAGCCTCTTTGCCATTGATGCGTATATGAATGTGTCTGTGCCCGATTTCAATTCCTGCACGGCTAGTGTGAAAGTCAACGAAAAAGCGCCCAAGGATTATATGGTTAGTAAAATATTGGCAACATTATACTTTGACTCTATATCTCTTATTTTTTAGGTGTTTATCAATGGTTCTTGGTTTACGGGGCACTCGATAGCTGTCAAGGGCAACTACAAGGATCGTAGTTCGCGTTTGCAGGCGCTGCTTCATTTGAAATTGATCGTGGAAAGTCCGTCGTTTGAGACGACCTCAGTGAACATGGTGTACAGACGCAATCAGCTGCTGATCTTCTTCGATGTGCAGAGCAAACACGGCAAGGATCCCTATGGACTGACTGTACAATATGCATCCAATGCGCACAATCGCAATTCCAATGCCGAGGTGCGTCTAAAGATTAAAGAAAAGGATTACTGGATCAATTCGAAATTGCTGTCAGAGCAGCCCAAGCTATTACAGGTGGAGATACACATGGACAAGTAAGTTCAGTGCTTAAATCTACATTCAATTTAAACGTTCATTAATTAAAATTTGCTTAGACTTCGGGATATACACATTAAATTGGGTCTCCTTAACATTGACAAACGCAAGGAGCTTTCGCTGGATCTGAAATGGGATGCCAATCGCGATCCCTCAGAACGCTTGGGCCTGCTCATGGAGTACAATAATCCGGGTAATAAACATTACGACGGCAATGTGATGATAACCTATCCGGAACGCACAATAAACTGTGGCTTCAGCACATATACGGGTGGCCCCACATACTATGGCAAGGCTCAGGCCTCCTGGAGCATCACAGAGGCCATTGAGTTCAGCTATAACGCAGGCATTATGCCCGGCAAGGACCTTCACAATTGGTTGCATGCAGAGGTCAATACACCTTTCGACGGCTGGCGTACGAATACACTGACAGCTGGAGTCTACAATGTGCAAAATCTGATATTGATCAACTCAACGCTATCGTGGGCAGAAGATCAAAAGTTGCAACTGGGCTATAAGAGCGATTACGATATACACGATCAGTTGGTTAGCTTTGATGTGCGATTTGGCATCAACAGCACCATCAAAGACATACCCACCATTAATGTGAAGGTTGCGCACTGGCAGGATCCAAAGAAAATCGATACAGATCTTTATCTTAGCTACAAGGGACAAAACGATACCTTTAACACCTACAGTGTTAAATCCATCTGGGATGTAATTCGCAATCAACGTTATCAGAATATTTCGGGCACTGTCGCCCTGGTCAGTCCATTCGAAGGATATCGGAAGGGCGGGCTGGCAGCCATGTTTATGTTAAACAACAAGCGTGAAGTGCAAGGTGCAGCCTCTTTGGAGTTTGATGTACGCGAATTTACACTCACGATGGACGGCTATGTGCGGAAGTTCACGGATAATATGCTAATAATAAATATCACAACGCCCTTGGAGAAGTTCCGCACTATTCACGGACGTTTCGGCTTGAATGAGAAGAAGCGACACGCTGTGGCAGAGGTGCGTGCACCAACTGCTGCGTTGGGTATCGAGGCGCTGGCGGATATCAAGAATTTACTTGACTTTGATGTTAAGCTCAGCGTGGCTACGCCCATTGAAAGCTTCCAGCAAGCGGCCGTGTTCGGTCAGGTTAATACGGAGCGTGTGGACATGCGCGGCATATGGAACAATTCAACGTTGGGCTTCACTGGCGTTTGGCATATGAAAAATATGACAGACTTTGAATACTCGTATTTCGTTTTCACACCTTTGGCTGGGTTCGAGGAGAATGGCTTCATTGCACAGGTGCTTAAGCGGGAGAATTTTATATTCAAGCTGCATGGAAAGCTCTCCCACTATAAGCTGGGCGTCAAGATCAATGGCCAACCCAAGCCGAAGCTGGTCAATCAGTTGAGCAATCAAAAGATGTTGTTAGATTTGCACTTTGATGATGACTTCCAACCACCAAAAATACCGGTTGACGAAGAAGCCGAGGCAGAGGAAGAGGAAGATTACCTCTCCTACTTGGTTAATTTCGAGGTGGACACGCTAGTCTGGCCCACCATACTTGGCGAGGTGGATATGCAAGAAAACATGGACTTCTACTTTATACTGGGCAATGTGCATCTACCCCAAGGCCGCGTAGAGTTCAGGGATCGTCTGTACTTCCCCGACTATATTAATGTGCTCAACGTTCTAACCGTGACCACACCCTTCGACATAGCCAAGGACTTCAAATCTGTGGTGGAGTATCACATTGATTTGAATTTCAATGCCTTCTATCAGCGCGTGTTCTTCATGATAAACGATGACAAAGCTAAGGTGCAGCAAATGGGCTTCGAGGTTAACTACACCAAAGTGGTGGATAATGTCAGGCCCAAGGCTTACAATGTCGAACTGAAGCTAATTACGCCCTACAAGCAGCTGCCCGAAATTAATATATATGGCAAGATCGAGCTGGATGACAATGCCTACAAGGGTAACATTACCTCGATTACAGCACACACACATCTGTCTATGGCCGCTGCTGTGGAGGTGGGAACTGCTTTTCCTCTTGATCTTATAAATTATATAAATTATTATATATAAATTATTTTGTGTTTAGAATGAAGACAATTTCCTGGAAACATCTATTGGCATTCTGCTCGAAACGAACGTTATACCGCACTACGCCTGCAATGCCTACTTCAAAAAGGACTTTTCTGCAGTGGACAATATTATCGACATACGCTTTGAAGTCACCGACAATGGCGTGGTTAACAAGGTAAGTCGATCGACCAGGTTGGATCAATATAGTTGTTCATTCACTCATATAACGATTCTCTTTAGCTGCAAATCGAATCGGATTGGCATACAGATCCTGCTTATTATGTCAATGTCAATGGCAAGGTGCATACTACAATGCTGCCACTGCAACTGGCCTCCACTTCAATTAGTGCCACAAAGGGGCCCAGTCCTCAGTTAAACTTCGATCTGAACTTCCTCAGTCGAGATGGTCAGAGCATTGCATACGGCACGCGGGCCAATAAGAAACAGGATGTGTTCAATGTGGAAGTGTGGACACCGTTGAAGAACTACAGAAACATCTCCATGCACGGCAGCATTGTTCGCAATCCACAAGATCCGCAACGCTACGATGTGATGGGAAACCTGTATCGCAATATGGCCACCTATGACGTGCGAGGTGTGGTTCGCATGAAAGATACCTTGCCAATCGATGTCACACTGCGTGTTCAGCCCAAGTCAGGCGGTCGCGATGGCGTCATTGAGCTGAACATCAATGAGGCGGGGCCGAAGAAAATTCGGTTCTCCTTTAGCGCCATCGAAGATGGCAAGATGTGTCAGATATCTGGTGGATATAGCGTCAGCGATAGAAATGGACCCATGGACTTCTCTGTGTTGGTTGAGAGCACAGAACCGGAAATCGCTCGTATCAATTTCTATGGCAATCTGAAGGCCGTGGAACAGGGTCGCCTGGTGGGTGATGTGAACCTGCAGACACCATGGAAGCAGTTGGGCATTGATTCAGTGCATCTGCACTCCGAAGTGGGTGTACGAAACGATGGCGGCAAGATCGTCGGCGAGTATCAAATTGGCAAGTATATTGGACGCGGCAGTTGCGTGTGGTCCTGGATACTGGCCGAGAATATGCAGCTAGTGCTGGAGAGCTATATGGAACGTCCCAAATCACAGCCGCGCATCGTGCACGCCAGCGCAAAATACTTGAATCCGGGCAAGACATTCCTGCAACTGCAATCAGGTGGCCGTCTAAGTGTCGATTCTAAATGGAATCTGGATGTGAACGGCAGCTTGCAATACAAGTCGTCCGATGACCTCCAATTCGCTGTGCTCACCCAGCTGCCATTGCCTGTGGGCGATATCCACAAGCTGAGCGGCAGCTATCGCGGCAATATTATTAGCAAACAGCTAAACGCTCCAGAATTCTACATTCAGGGCGGCTATGAAGCATTGGAGGCACAACGCAAGCTTTCAACGCATTTCAGCTATCACAACGATACGAAATCTCTCCAGGGTGTGGCTCATGTGGGTTGGGGCGAAAAGAAGGATATGTCGGTCATCGAAGGCGACTTCACCTTGTTGCAAAAGCAAAATTATCGCCGAGAATTCCAAGCGAAGTTGACAACGCCCCAGTTCAAGGGAGAACACACATTCGGACTGAGCGGCCACTACGACAAGTCCAATGCGGAATATCTCAACTTGGTCTGTGCCTTGGATTACCCAGCAAGTCGTCGCATAACCGATTTGGATGTGTCCTTCAGTTCACTGACCAACATGCATGGTGTAATCAACTCAACCACGCCTTTCCTCAATATATCTTGGTTCAAAACAGATTTTGAATTCACAACAAAGAGGTAAAATAAAAGAAATGTGCTTTAACTATATATCAAAACTAATCCTGAATCTTTCACACAGTGGACAAAGCTATCGCTACGTGCGCTGCAACTGGCCCAAGGACAGCGCCTTCTTTAAGTTGAAGAGCAACTATGACAGCGATAGCACCAATCACAATTTAAATGGCAACATCGAAATTGAAGTACCATTGACCACGAGACATCGGGCGGACATAGTTTACGGTCTGCAGGAACGTGCCAACCTGGATTCGGGCAATCTAAAGGTTGTCTACAATACGCAACAAATATTGGATGGCAAGTACAAGCGTGTGGAGGTGAAGAAGCATCCCTTCTACAAGGACACAACTGATATAACACTGGAGAACGATATGAAGCCGCTGGGCATACACTACGTTAGCACGAGGGATATCCGCAATGCAGGTGCACCGAAGGACATCAAGCACATTGAGGTCTTCGAGCTGCGCAACACAAAGAATTTCAATCTAACGGGAGAGCTGCATGCGTTGACCACTGCCACTGCTCAGGAATTCAAGGTGGTGGCCGTACATCCAAATCGTGCCGTTATCTTGACCACCCGGTACGAGAATGTCAATCCACATGTGGTCAAGCAGCATGCCAAGATCGAGCTATCGGAGACAGCCTGGATAGGCTATAACTTGGAATTGGGCAATTTTAGCACGGTGAGCAAATACTTAGCTTAGGATGTGTGGAACCCTATTTAAAATATAATTGATTTCCATATTGGCATTATATTTGATTTTTGGCTAATCTCTTTGTATTATTTTAGAACGGCAATGAATCTCAGCGTTACGCACTGGAACTCTTCTATCCGAAACGCAATCTTTCCTCCGCTGGCTGGTATTATCTGACCGATAAGCAATTCAATGCTGATCTGCGTTTGAAATGGGCTGGTACTGGTGCTCACGAAGAGTCCAGGAAGATCCGCAGCAACTTCCAATGGAGAGCTGAACCATTGCATAGGGGCGAGCGGGATCATCAAACATTTAGCTGGACGGTGGCTCATCCGTACCTCGAGAAGGACATCAATTGCAAGGCCACGTATTACCGTGGCTTGCAGGATCTACTTAAAACTCATTTGACCATTGACTATTCTAAGGATCCCGCACAGTTGATTACGCTTGGCGCTCACCTGCGCGATTTGTACAATGAAAAGGGATACACGAACTATACGTTGAAGATCTATGGCTATCATCCGGCATCGGAACTGGACGTTGAGATGAATGGTACGCTGGTGGCGCGGCCTTCGTACTATAAGACGGAGTCAACAGCTCACTACAAACGCGACTATTCACCCTTGTATGGCAAGTTTTTGGCTCTGGTGGATCTGAATAAACGTGAGCTGGAGTACGAGCGTCGCTCGCCCTACCACGCCGTGCGTCTTTGGCTAGTGCCAACTGTAGAGTATCCGGTATACGGCCTGAATGCAACTATTTGGGACACACCCGACACCAATCACACGGGCTATGTCTATGTAAATCTAGTGGATCGCACTGCACGCATGGATTTCAATCTGACTGAGGACGCCAGCCAGAATTTGCAAATGGTGGGCTATATACCCGATACTCGTAGTGGTTATCTGGACATTTGGCGCAATTATGAGGAAATACGCATCATTGATGTGAGCTCTTATCTGAAGATGAACCATTCTCGCCTGATCACAGGACGCTTCCATTGGCGTCCCAGCATTAGGGACGAATTGCGGGAGAAAATCGAAAGCATGAGTAATTCGCTTTACACCTCCTTCTCGGATGGCATTGATTTCTGGATCAAATCTCTATACACCGAGTCAGTGGAATCGATGGGCGTCATCTGGGGTACAGCCAAGGAATACAACAAAAACTTTATTGACGATATTAGCCAGCTGAGCGTATTGGAGGAAGATCTTAACGATTTGCGGCTTTTTGTCAATCAGTCGTACGAGGCAAATGATTTCTATATCAAAAATGTGGTCAACTTTACGCTGACCATATTGGACGAGCTGGCTATCAGGGATCACATCGAGTCGGTGCCAAAGATATTCTCGGAGCTGTGGCATGCCATGGGTGATTCGGGCAAGGCGCTGCGCAATAGCATTGTCTGGCTCATAGAAACCATTAAAACGACCTACAACAATGTTTTAGATGCCATCACTCGCTTTTTCCATGGCGAAAGTCTAACCTACATATCGACGCTCATGGGAAAGGGCATAGAGAAGTATGATAAGTTCGTCAAGGAGCTGCACATCAAGTTCATAAAATACATTGAGAATTTGTGGAATAAATTCTGGCGTCTGGCGGAGACCTATTGGCTGAGTGTACTCAAGCGCCTCGAGCCGCACATGTTCAAGATCATCAGCTTTATAGAGACCACACTCTGGGATCTGAGCAAGGAGGTGTTTGACTTCATATACAAACGGACCAACGAACTAGCTGAATCGCCCTATTTCAATAAAATGTCCAGCTTTACTGCCGATGCGGAACGCCTGTACAGGGATATCCAGGCGAATGATGCTATTACGAATATTAAAAAGTATTCGACGCTGGCATGGAACTTCATCAAGGAGAAGTATTTCAAGCTGGTGCCATTTGGAGCTGAGCTACATGAGGTACTTACGGAAATCTGGCAGGAGATCAAGGAGCTACAAAAGATCGAACAAGTGCAGGTCGTGGTGCAAAAGTACAACGAAATTGTAGCCAAGTTGGAATGGATAGCCGATGAGCTGCAGCTGGAGTATCGCATCCATCAACTGTATGGACTGTTGCGCAACAAGTTCCGAAACTATGCGCTGAATGCTCTGGAAACGGCGGACATGTACAGGGAGGCCAAGACGAAGTTCATCTTTGATCCGGAGGTGGGCATCATTGATCTGGAACAGAAGCTGCCCATGTCCTGGCATGCATTCAATGAAACCCCCAAATTTGAGGAGATACCCGAATATAAAATGCTGTCCAAGGTGAACAGCTTCCTCAGCGAAACCAACTCCTCGATCATCATGAAGCTGTACAATATGAGAACCCATCTGGATCCGAAGACCTGGCTGCCTCCCTACTATTGTATGTAAAGCGTAGCAGATTGGCTGAGAGTTGTATTATAAAGTTTACATTACAAATTTTCAGCACGTGCTTTACTCATCGATTCACGTCACTATATGACCTTTGACCAGCGTTTTGTGGGCCTCAATTTGAATTACGAACAGCTGCAAAATGGTGGACGCAATGGACGTTGCAGCTATCTGTTGGCACACGACTTCTTCAAGCGTAACTTCACGCTGTTGCTTGAGCCAGCGGTAAGAAGAGACTTGCTCAATTCTTTTGCCCTGACAGATAATATCGTACAATTGTATTTCTCTTTAGGCCCAGCCCCTGAATGGCCGCGAAGCAGGAGATTTGCCTACGCGCAAGCTGAGCTTCATTGCAAATGGAGAGCTTATTGAAATAGATCTTGGCACTGATGTAAGTAGAACATTTTATAGATTCTGTTCAATTCTTTGAATAATTTGTATGCCCCCAGCACATTAGCATCAATGGCAATCCCCAGCCCATATTACCTCTGAAGCTGGGCGCTGTTAACATTTATCGTGAGTTAGATATTCTGTCCATCATCTCGGATACACAGTTCAGTCTGCACTGCAATGTTCAGTTTGATCTCTGCTGGTTTGAGGTGAGCGGCTGGTACTTTGCCAAGACAGCTGGATTGCTGGGCACGCTCAATAATGAACCCTACGATGAGTACACAATGTCCAATGGCTTGATAACGGCACAAACACAACAGTTCACCGATTCCTGGAGTCTGCAGCGTTGCCAGCAGACACAGTTTGTCAAACCGTTGCCCAGAAGTCCAGAAGTGTTGCAGATATGCAACAGGTTCTTCCGTTCGGGCATTTTGTCTGCTTGCAGTGCTGTCGTCGATTCGGCGCCTTTCTACGAGATGTGCCTGGATCTGGGCATGAAATCACAGCCCATACGCCCGGGTCATCCAGCTATAAAGGGTGCCTGTGCTGCTGCGCTAGCCTACATCGAGACTTGTACCACGTTCAAGGTGCCCATGCGTGTGCCGGATCAGTGTGTGTTGTAAGTGCAGAGCTGATACCTCAGACAATCCGCTCACGCTAAACATTTGCAAATTATTTAACAGCTGCCAGCTGGCAAATGGTTCGTATGTGCCGGAGGGCAAGTTTATAGAGCTCAGTGGTGCGGATATACCGCGCAGCAGCGATGTGGTATTCATAGTGGAGGCTAAGTCTTGTAATCAGAACCTCAAGGAGACCAAGAGCATTATGAGTGTCGTGGCCAGCATTGAGGAGCAACTGCAGGCTGCTAAGATAACCAACAATCGGTGAGCAATATTTCCCGGGGCTTCTCTAGTTTATCGTTTAATTCTGTTTCCCTTCTAGCTATGCGGTTGTGGCCTTTGGTGGCGTTGAGCCTTACGATAAGCCGCGCAGCATTATCTACGAGCGTAATGTGTTTACATCCAAGCCCGATCAACTGGCGGAATACTTTGCGCATATCAACACAGGAAATGGCACCAGCAAGGATATCCTGCTTGCCATTTCAACGGCATCGCGTCTGAACTTCCGGCCAGGTGTATCGAAGACCTTCATTTTGCTCTCGTGCAGCAGCTGCTCGCCGAAGGACATGCGCTTCGATTACACCTCCATATTGCAGTTCATGCTGGAGGAGAGCGTTAATTTGCATATTTTGGCGGACACCGAGTTTGATTTTGAGCGCACCAAGAAACTGCGTCACTTCTTTGGCTTGGACAAAAAGCTGGTCTACTCGAAACGTTTCCCCGAGGGCGATGAGGAGACGCGCAGCCAGGTGCACATACCCAAGAGCAACTTAGGCATTTGCACATCACTTGCGCTGGAGACAAACGGATCGGTATTTAGTGCACGCAAATTGGCGCCGGAGCGCAAGTATCCGATTATGCGATTTGCCACTATTTTTGCCAAGCGTGTTGCACAGAGTGCCAAGCCCATTGATGCACAAACCTGTGAGTGCTCCGGCCACAATTCGGGCGTGGCGTATGTAGCCTGTTCGCCACAGGAGTTGCCTGAGGATAAGGGCAATCTGGATGATTACGTAAGTGGTCTTTGCATTCACTAAAGGAACTTGATTCCCAAACTGTTTTTCTCTTTTAAGGACGTTTTCGACGACTGGGAGTGGGAAGACGAGATAGATAAAGAGACATAAGCGAACACATTTAATTAAGTTTGTATTCGATTAGTTAATTAGTTAAACGATGTAAAGTTTTTGTCAAATAACTAAACAATATTTTGTAAAAATAAATAACATAATGTCGAAAATAGAAAAGGTAATATAATAATGGCAATACGTGGAATACGCGGTCTTCGTGCAGCTATATACACTTCGCTTTGACGCTAACCTACATTTGAGGAGTTTTGTTTTCCCCTTTTGTGTTAGTGGGTAAAATTGCAGTTCATTAAAACATTTCCTGACTGAACTTTATTTACAGTTCCTCAACGTGCCGACTTGAGTGCATAATTCTACGTTAGGCAGCCCAATGATTAGTATTTCTGGCTCAAATTACGTCATGGTTAACCAGTTTTTTATGTTCCCTGCAGCAGCAGCAGCAGCAGCAGTGCCCATGCCCGCGGGGCAACAAAGCAATGCAGCCCATTTCCTAGACAACAACAATTGGTGCTTGGGCAAATCTCAGGCGACTCTCAAAAGTGGTCTGACTGGCTGCAGTGGAGCGTTGGCTTTTGGTGACTATCACTTTTCGCCTGTGCGGGTTACGGTTGACGGAAACAATCGCAGAACTCAAGTACGTGTAACAACCTTAACCCCAAAGCTTGCATAGGTCCAGATTGTGCCAGGAGGCAGACCAGAGCAGGGTGGGGCCACATTGTCTAAGCCCCTGAGGCCATTCACTTTGCCAGCAGCGAGTTAGAGAGAGAGAGCTACGAGATACTTGATACCCACTTGAACCCAATTTGTTGTTATAACATTTGCTTGGAAAAGCACAATGAAAATTATGCGATCCGAATGGTAATGCAATACTTTCTATTTCAATGTTATGGTTACATCAACTAAAGACCTGACCAATAGCATTGGGCAAATCTTTCACTTTTGGCCAACGCGATGCGACGGCTATGACTATAAAAGTCGACGGACTTATTGCAGCTACTCGTATTGCTTAACTGCTATTCGGCGCGTGTGGATCAAACTAATAAACACAATCTCAGCTCACAAAATGTGGTTACTTGTAAGTGTATCCAAAGCAAAGCGCTTTCCAGACAACAATATTAAGTTTTGAATCCTGCACAGCTTTTAGTCTGCGGCATGTCGCTTGCCTACGCCTCGCACTCCGCTGAGGGACACTATGAGGGCGGGAGTGGAGGAGGTGGTACGGGTATCGGCAGTGGCACGAGTATCGGAGACTATCACCACCAACATACTCCCACCACGTACTCGGAGACCTCGAAGCATGTACCAGTCCATGTCATTGAAAAGGTGCCATTGCCCATACCACATCCGGTGGCTATACAGGTGAGTCAATCGCAACTCTTTATGACAATTTGAATTTTTATTAAAAGTGCTTTCTGTATTTACAAGGTGCCGAATGTTATACGTCTGCAAATCCCAGAACCCTACGCTGTCCATGTGCCGGTGCAGCAGGAAATTCAAGTTCCAGTTTACAAAATAGTTCCCGAAATAACTGAACGTAAAATTCCGTACACTGTGGAGAAACCCTATCCCGTTGAAGTCGAAAAGCCTTACCCCGTCGAAGTGATCAAGCACATCAAAATTCCAGTGCCCAAACCATATCCTGTGCCCTATACCATTTACAAGCATGTCCTGCACAAGGACACGGCTGGTAAAAAGCCTTCACCAGGTGTTTAACTTAGTTCTAGAACTTATGGCAAGCTAATTTTTTGAGCCAGTATTAAAGACGATGTTATGTTGATGCAAATGGAAAATGTTTTTCTTCTTTTGTGGGTAAATTAAGTATTAAGTGTGATTGCAGATGATAGAAGATGATAGATGATAGATGATAGATGATAGATGATAGATGATAGATGATGATGATAGATGATGATTGATAGATGATAGATGATCGATTAGATGATGATATGATGATCGATGATAGATGATTGATGCTGCATCGATGATAGCTCATGCCAGTGCTCGATCCTGCTCTGCTCGCTGCTCGCTGCTCGCTTCTCGCTGCTGCTGCTCGCTGCTCGCTGCATGCTCGCTGCTCGCTGCTCGCTGCTCGCTGATCGCTGCTCGCTGCTCGCTGCTCGCTGCTCGCTGCTCGCTGCTCGCTGCTCGCTGCTCGCTGCTCGCTGCTCGCTGCTAGCTGCTCGCTGCTGCTCGCTGCTCGCTCTCGCTGCTCGCTGCTCGCTGCTCGCTGCTCGCTGCTCGCTGCTCGCTGCTCGCTGCTCGCTGCTCGCTGCTCGCTGCTCGCTGCTCGCTGCTCGCTGCTCGCTGCTCGCTGCTCGCTGCTCGCTGCTCGCTGCTCGCTGCTCGCTGCTCGCTGCTCGCTGCTCGCTGCTCGCTGCTCGCTGCTCGCTGCTCGCTGCTCGCTGCTCGCTGCTCGCTGCTCGCTGCTCGCTGCTCGCTGCTCGCTGCTCGCTGCTCGCTGCTCGCTGCTCGCTGCTCGCTGCTCGCTGCTCGCTGCTCGCTGCTCGCTGCTCGCTGCTCGCTGCTCGCTGCTCGCTGCTCGCTGCTCGCTGCTCGCTGCTCGCTGCTCGCTGCTCGCTGCTCGCTGCTCGCTGCTCGCTGCTCGCTGCTCGCTGCTCGCTGCTCGCTGCTCGCTGCTCGCTGCTCGCTGCTCGCTGCTGCTGCTCGCTGCTCGCTGCTGGCTGCTCGCTGCTCGCTGCTGGCTGCTCGCTGCTCGCTGCTCGCTGCTCGCTGCTCGCTGCTCGCTGCTCGCTGCTCGCTGCTCGCTGCTCGCTGCTCGCTGCTCGCTGCTCGCTGCTCGCTGCTCGCTGCTCGCTGCTCGCTGCTCGCTGCTCGCTGCTCGCTGCTCGCTGCTCGCTGCTCGCTGCTCGCTGCTCGCTGCTCGCTGCTCGCTGCTCGCTGCTCGCTGCTCGCTGCTCGCTGCTCGCTGCTCGCTGCTCGCTGCTCGCTGCTCGCTGCTCGCTGCTCGCTGCTCGCTGCTCGCTGCTCGCTGCTCGCTGCTCGCTGCTCGCTGCTCGCTGCTCGCTGCTCGCTGCTCGCTGCTCGCTGCTCGCTGCTCGCTGCTCGCTGCTCGCTGCTCGCTGCTCGCTGCTCGCTGCTCGCTGCTCGCTGCTCGCTGCTCGCTGCTCGCTGCTCGCTGCTCGCTGCTCGCTGCTCGCTGCTCGCCTGCCTCGCTCTCGCTGCTCGCTGCTCGCTCTCGCTGCTCGCTGCTCGCTGCATCGCTGCTCGCTGCTCGCTGCTCTCTGCTCGCTGCTCGCTGCTCGCTGCTCGCGCTCGCTGCTCGCTGCTCGCTGCTCGCTGCTCGCTGCTCGCTGCTCGCTGCTCCTTCTCGCTGCTCGCTGCTCGCTGCTCGCTGCTAGCTGCTAGCTGCTCGCTGCTCGCTGCTCGCTGCAGTGCTCGCTGCTCGCCTGCTCTCCTGCCTCGCTGCTCGCTGCTCGCTGCTCGCTGCTCGCTTGCTCGCTGCTCGCTGCTCGCTGCTCGCTGCTCGCTGCTCGCTGCTCGCTGCTCGCTGCGCTGCTCGCTGCTCGCTGCTCGCTGCTCGCTGCTCGCTGCTCGCTGCTCGCTGCTCGCTGCTCGCTGCTCGCTGCTCGCTGCTCGCTGCTCGCTGCTCGCTGCTCGCTGCTCGCTGCTCGCTGCTCCCTGCTCGCTGCTCGCTGCTCGCTGCTCGCTGCTCGCTGCTCGCTGCTCGCTGCTCGCTGCTCGCTGCTCGCTGCTCGCTGCTCGCTGCTCGCTGCTCGCTGCTCGCTGCTCGCTGCTCGCTGCTCGCTGCTCGCTGCTCGCTGCTCGCTGCTCGCTGCTCGCTGCTCGCTGCTCGCTGCTCGCTGCTCGCTGCTCGCTGCTCGCTGCTCGCTGCTCGCTGCTCGCTGCTCGCTGCTCGCTGCTCGCTGCTCGCTGCTCGCTGCTCGCTGCTCGCTGCTCGCTGCTCGCTGCTCGCTGCTCGCTGCTCGCTGCTCGCTGCTCGCTGCTCGCTGCTCGCTGCTCGCTGCTCGCTGCTCGCTGCTCGCTGCTCGCTGCTCGCTGCTCGCTGCTCGCTGCTCGCTGCTCGCTGCTCGCTGCTCGCTGCTCGCTGCTCGCTGCTCGCTCCTCGCTGCTCGCTGCTCGCTGCTCGCTGATCGCTGATCGCTGAGCTGAGTCTTCCCCTCTTTCCTATTCCCTTATATTAACCCCCAAAATCTCCCTCAAATTTAATATGGAAAAATATGGAACTTGAATATTCAGAAAAATTTATGGTTCACATCCTGGTTAGGTTATTTGCGTAAAAGCTTAGTTAACTAGTTGGGAGCTCAGCAAATTTGAAATGAAAAAATCCTTAAAAACTTGCGCCTAGTGCAATATTTCCCTTAAAATCCAATACTTCAACCCCAGCAAAGTCTCCAAAAGCTGCACAAGAAAGCTTCCCACAAAAAGCTGATATTTAACTGTAATTGTAAAGCTTTGACTATAAAATAGAGCTCTTCATAATAAGTGGACGCATTACCACAAAAGTGTGGCAAGTAACGGTAAGCACAAAGGTGCGTACATTCACACTCACACTTATACACACACTCTCTCGCTCTCTCACCCACACACCGACACATGTGCATACACGTGCTGCGTGCGCTTGTAAGTTCGTTAAACTTTGTTGAATCCACGCAGATTGACGCCCCGACTGTCAGAGCGACTGCCTCGTCCATGGTTACAGCTATGTTTCCCTTTAGCCGATGACGTGCTTGAAATGTGCGCACACTCAACCCCGACCTCATTCCCTCCCAGTCCCGTTGTGAGCCATCCAACCGGCTGGGAATGTGCAGCGATGTTAAATATCCCTCATATGTCCTTGATAGAGGAAATCGTTTATCGTCTCTAGCTCTCAGCAATTGTGCCAAGTTTTTCCATTGACAGTCAAATGGCAGCCAAAGCCATCATTGATTTTCATATGTTGCCTACTCGAAGGTGCACTCATGCTTTGTGCTCTAATCAATGCATCTGTCAGGCAATACAATCGTCAGATTGTCAGTCAGTCAGTTTAGTAATCCATCCGTCAGTCTATCAACCAGTCAGTGTCCAATTATTTATGCACTACTTGCTCGAAATGTATCCAATGCGTTGTTGCTCACGTTGTGTATACGCCATGTTTGTCTACGTGCTCTAAAGTTAAAGCTTCAATCAGAGGC